CGCCGTGTTTACATTAAAAGGCCTGCAGGGACAGGCTATGGACACCAGAACCACTACATTAAGCTGAAGTGGTTCTGGGGACTAGAGATTAGTGCCACGAATAACTAGATTGCCTACTTACAACCAGATGAGGATGATGATGGGCTCTAGCTGCAGTCTGGCTCCACTGGTCTGGTGTAGAACAGGCTCCCTGGAGGCTGTTTGTAACTGTGGTCACAAAAATCTATGTTCTGGGAGAATGGGAAGCAGCTCCATTTTTTTTAAGGCCCTTTATTTATTTATTTTAATCTGTGTTTGTATGTGTAAGGGCTGCAAGGTGTTATTCTGTGTATGTACGGGTTGCATTGAGTGTGTGCATCTGTAAGGTGTGCATTGAGTGTGTGTAAGGAATGCATTGTGTGTTTCGGTGTGTGTAAGGGATGCATTGTGTGTAAGGGTTGCATTGCTTGTGTGTTTGTGTCTGTGTGTGTAATGCATTGTGTGTTTTTCTGTGTGCAAGGGGTGCATTGTCTTTGTGTGTAAGGGGTGCATTGTGTGTGTGTGTGTGTGTGATGGATGTCAATCTCTTCTCCCCCTCTCCCTCCCTTGTCCCTCTCTTCTCCCCCCCTTGTCCCTCTCTTCCCCCCCTCTCCCTTGTCACTCTCTTCTCCCCTGCTTGTCCCTCTCTTCTCCCCCTCCCTTGTCACTCTCTTCTCCCCCGTTGTCACTCTCTTTCCCCCATCAATTCCCTCCTGTCAATTTCTTCCCCTCCCCTGTCATTCATCATTCCCCTGTCATTCCCCTCCTGTCAATTTCCCCCTCCTGTCAGTTCCCCTCCTGTCAGTTTCCCTTCCTGTCAATTCCCCTCCTGTCAATTCCCCCTCCCCTGTCAATTCACCCCCCTCCCGTCAATTCCTCCCTCCTGTCAATTTACCCCCTTCCTGTCCATTTCCCCCCCTCCTGTCCATTCCCCCCATCCTGTCCATTCCCCTCTGTCCATTCCCCACCTGTCCATTTCCCCATCTGTCCAGTCCCCTGTCCATTTCCCCCCTCCTGTCCATTCCCCCCTGTCCATTTCCCCCCCCCTCCCGTCCATTTCCCCTGTCCATTTCCCCCTCCCCTGTCCATTCCCCCATGTCAATTTCTCCCCCTACCTCCCTGTAGCGTGGCCGAGCCCTCTATGGTATGGTCCGCGGGTACAGGGAGCTTTTGTTTCCTGTACCCGGCCGGACTAACAGGAAGTGCACACTCAGTGACAAAAGAGACAAAAGCTCCCTGTACCCGCGGACTAACAGGAAGTGCACACTCAGTGTACACTCAGAGACAAAAGCTCCCTGTACCCGCGGACCATACCATAGAGGGCTCGGCCACGCTACAGGGAGGGAGTGACAGGAGGGAGCGCTGAGCGCTTCCCTCCCGTCAGCCCCTCTCCCCATGCTGCGCCCGGGCGGTGCGGTCCGCCCTCATGGACGCACCGCCCGGGCAAAGCTGCAGCCGCCTGAGGCTCTCTACAGAGCGCTCGGGCGGCTGCAGCATGGGGGGGCCGGCGCTCCTGGCGGCGCCCCCTCCCAAGGGGCACCCTAGTCCGCCTTACAGGTAGCGCCGGCCCTGCTGATATGCAAATGGTATGGGTTCTCTTTCTAATGACAAAACATTTTGAGACCTGAGCAGGGGCTAACCGAAGAGCAAGCTACTGAGTTTCTCTAACCTTTTGCCTGTTCTCAGAGTTCTCATTTTCTCTGTTATTAGATACAATAAGCCTGCTGCCTGGTGAAGGGTTAATACATGTTGTGACCTCCTGTCCAGCTTCTAGACCCAGTGATTATTGTGCAGAAGAAAACAAACAGATGCTAGCTGTAGAGGACCAATTTTCAGTTTCTTTTTTTTGTGATACAGAAAATAAAAGAAAATCAGGTCAACTTTTCTCAACATACAAAGCTTGGCTATTGTTAATCGTATTACAGCTGCAGCAAAGTGCAGCACATTATGTGTTTCAATACAAACTTGTGACTATCTGCAGAGAAGGGGACAAAATATTACAACACAGGCCTAAACCCCTTCCTTCTCAACAGCAGGCATCAGACACATCAACAAGCTGTGTTTAAGATATATAAAAGGGCCAATCTCACCACCCCCTCATAAAAACTACTCACAAATATATATGGGACAATTAAATGTATTTTACTGTAGAACTATAGCCATGCAACCGAGGTTGCTCCTTATTAGAATTTCAGTTAAAGGCAAAGTCATCTGGTTATGGATAAGGATAATGTGGACGACAAAAACCTTGACACTTAGCCAGCATCATAGGAATTGTAGCCAGATACCTAGACAAAACACCAAGCTATGGCTTCTTTCTTCAGTGCTCATAAATTTGAGTCAGTGTTACCAGATGCAGGACCAGCACAATTATTTTTGGCACCGTAGGCAAAAACCATTTTGCCACCTCCATTGGCCTGGCATGAGAGAAATGTTATAGAGAAACAATTGTTGAAATCTAATCTTGATGTGTGTTTATGTAGGCTTTTCAGCTTTTCTCTGTAAATATATTAATTCAGCAAATTAGCAATTCTGTGCATGCAAGCTCCTTCCTGCAGTTCCAGTCCTGCTATTGTGAGTCGAATTGTGGTTCGTTGTTATAGACTTGCAAGAACCTGTTTTATGCAAACCTTAATTTAGAGTCATCTAGTGGAATACAATTTTACTGAGCAATAAACCTCAAATGGTAATTTACTCTTAAGAAATTTAACATTTCGAGAAAGAAGCCATGTTTATTGACTCAAGAGAGCATTAGAACCAGAGATAATCTACCTTTTGAAATCAAACTTCTGTAGACATTACTACTTAATATATGGAGTGTTACCAACACTCCAGATTAGAGACATCTTAGTTTGTGACCTCCTGGTGATCCCTCAGATGCTGCGTCTATGATCCCTTAAATAGTTCCAGCCTCTCCCCTCTTGTTGCTTACACGAATGTGATTGCATCATCACCCCAACACCATGGAAGCACGTTTTGTATCACATGGGTCAAACAAGCCTATCACTGTCTTCTAAGGCTATATTACCTTGTTTTTGTCTTTGTACTCTGCCCTTTGGTGGTTTCCCCTTTGTGGTTATCCGAGAGCACGTTTATCTGATGTAGTTCATTGGCTTTATTAACCCTGGCTTGTTCCTTGACCATTCTCCATTTCCATTGTCTGTTTGATTACACTACACTCTGTATCCCTGATCTTGTCTTGTATTTGACTTTTTTTATTTTGCATTATGTCTGGACAGTCTGAGGCCTGGTAATACACCTATTACCATTCTAACTATTCCCAGTTTTGTTAGCTTGATTTTTGCATGTTAGGCTGTAGTTAACTGTGACAGTCAGTCAAAAAGGAACTTTAGTTACAACAGAAGTCCATGGCAGACGGAGTTCCACAAGCTGGCTATCCCTGGCTAAAGAACTGTACAATATATGCCCCAGTTTTTTATAATAGACAAAAGAATATAGAAGAGGAAGAAAATGTGTAAGGTTGACTATTTTTACCCCTGGTG